AAAAAATACAATACATTTTTTTTCGGTCTAATAGAACATTTATTAACCATTTAAAACCTTTTTCCAAAAAGGGTCAACTAGCCTATTGTGTAAGATCCTTTACTTCCATGATCGCGTGCCCAACGCACAAACTACTGTACAATGGAGCATCCACCTTCAAGTGGAACTTGATACATAATTAAATAAAACTTACAAAACAAATATAGCCCCACCAGAAAATTGAGACACCCCCCTCGAGGGGGAGGATACACCTTATTTATAGCTGTGCTATTTTTGGTAATAGCTTATGGGGCAGCTGGGATGCTGACTGGTCTTATATTGCAGAAAATAACTGTTATTATAGTCTAGCGTCCTAACTTGTGAAATCCTTACTAAAAGAAATTCCTGTAATCGGTAGCATAGCATATAATATTTTATATTTAAGTATTTAACTGAGATGTTTCAAATCTAAAGAAAATGTTACTAGAATAAAATCCACTTGGTTCAGGTTTCAGAATGGATTCCACCCGAATAGCGGTAGTTGCTGGTAGCATAGCTGTTAGTGTATTAACCCAGATTGCGAAAGATACTGTTTGAATCCAGCCTGATAAACCACGGCACCTTGGCCTTTTATTTATTTAAACAAATTGTATATGCCGTTCAGTGGTACCTCGCAAGTGTTACAATAATAGCGCAGCTTTTTACACTATGTTCTTCAAAGGACAATATAATCTTCAACGCGTCTGGGGACGGTGCAACTGCCGGCCGGTGCTGCAGGCTGTGCGGCGGCGACATCAGCCTCAAGCCGTTCGCTGAGACGTACCACCTGGAGGGAGTCGAAGGTCGCTACGATCACTTGCTGTTTGAGTGTTTCGGGGTTAAGGTATTATAATAATACTAAATAATAAATATTTACAACACTCACACCAATTAGCCTAGCTCCAAAGTAAACACTCTAGGCTTGTGTTATGGGATACTAGGGTAACGGATAGATTACATAAACTGATACATATATAAGTATATTTATAGAGAAATACATTTTGATACATTCATGACCATTCATGAATGTATCAAAATGCATTTTACCCCATTTTCATGACCATTCATGAATGTATCAAAATGTATTTCAAAATGTATTACAAATGCTCGTATTCATCACACAAACATCTGTCCCCACCGCGATTCGAACATGTGACCTCTCGAGTAGGCGACACATTGAAACCCGACGTTCAAACCACTCGACCACGGAGTTCGTCTTTTTAATGCGTCTCATCAGCATTTATAACGCTGGGTTAGTTGTTCCTTTAATCCTTTGTGAGAGGTTCACAGGCATCCAGTGCCTCTCTACCAATGCTAAGTGAATTCAGCCGCCTTAATAATGACTAGGCTATTACCAACCTAAAAGATTGTTGTTGTGCCATCAGCACAATATTAATCTCACGTAGAATTCGTAATAAATAGTTAATAGCGTGATCCAATGAGAAAACATCATAAGTTCCTGTTTCTTGAGTTAGCATATCTCCCCCACTAATTTCTTTGCTTATAGATTAATATAAATACCTGTATTTTTAGTTGTAAAATCAAGTCAAAAAATATCCTCCAATACATTAACCAGCAGTGTTATTATTTAACTATGGAGCCAGCAACAGTAGTAAACAGTGCCGTCTTTGACCTATTGGAGGCCCTGGGCATATTAGGATAATGGGGCCCCTATGACCCCCATTTGGTGATTTAACAGGAACTAGGGACTTTGTATTTGATCTGAGGGGGGCCCCTATTGATCGCGGGGCCCTGGGCACTTGCCCAAAGTGCCCACTGGGAAAGAGGGGTCTGGTAGTAAAGATATAATACTTAAAAATATGACCAAGTATGTTAACTTAATGTCATTAAGGTGTACTAGCCACCGGCCTTAGAGTAATATCAGAAGAATGGTCTGGTTGCTATTAAGAAAATAATATCCAGCGAAAACTAATGAAAGCCTCAACCAATGGGCTCTCAGAGATATCTCAGAGAATAGGGCTCTACCCTTATCAAAAATTGGTTCGGTGCTACAGAATGATCACTTGACATTTGTTTATTTTAACGAGTCAACAGTCAGTTTTACGAGTAATAGTTACCTATTAAAAATTATTATTTAGGTTTCTCCGCCGGACAGCTTGATTTGCGAATGGTGTATTCGACAACTGCGGAATACCGGAAGGTTCAGAGCCTTGGTCTTCTCTGCTTTCGGGAAACCTCCAAGTAAGACCTAATTATTTCTCGATCCAGTAAAACTGATTCATCAAGTCTACTGAATACCTATTAACTATTATATGGAACAACATTTTGAACGGGTTTAAATCTCTCCATAATTATTAATAAAAAAAATACACGGAAAAAATCACTTAAGGTTCATAAAATAAGCAGTACATGACCTGATCTACCCTCTGTTATTGGGCTTGACCTCCAGATCCCGCTAAATATCAGGTGGGATAGTGAGTTGATTCTTTGCCTCGTACAAAATTTAAAGTAGATATTAGTAGAGAAACTATGAGAAAACAATACGATGTTGACAATGGTATCTTCCTCATCACAGGTTCAACGGATCCTTCCCCAGAAGATGGTAGTTTCTGAAACGATAGCGTCAAATCCAACCCAAAAATGCAGGAAGAAAATGAAAACTCTGCCATAATCACATACAGAGACATGATAGACCTGCTAAACACGAGAGCTGGCAGTGAGAGATCAAAGAAGAAGAGTTTTAAGGCCATAAGCTCTCTCGGTCGAAGGACTAACGTGCAATGTGCACGGTGTAAGCAGAAATACCCTTTTATAGTGCAGACGGGTGGTGGGAAGGAGTTCGTGTGCTCCAGGTGTAAGAACAACGGTGATTGGCGTGCTGTTTGCAGGAAATGTAATGTAGCGATGCCTCACAAGCTGATGAAGGACCACCTGGAGTTGCATGCCAAAGCTGAGGCTAGGAGGAAAAGCAGGTAAAACTTTACAACTTTGTATACGGGTAGGTAAAATGCATTCATAGTTTCATCCGCATATCTCTCACATTATGATTGCATCTTATATTAATTAATCAAGCAACATTTAATTCTAAATCATTCACGACTAACACAAGTATTACAATACTTAAAAGGGAATACCCAACAAGAGTTGCCTGGAAATAATGCGTGAGCATCATGAGCGTATTAATTTCCCCGTCCCCACTGCTACGACACAGACCTTTCCTATGGGTGGACTAGGGAGATTGGGCCATCACCCACCACCACGTAGGGCTCAATGAGTTGTTGGTTGGTGGCTGCCATACTACGATTAAAGTTGCAGCCGGAACCGACAGCTTCACGTCCTCCTCCATCGTTAAGTATTAACTATTTACCATGGTAATTGTGCTGTAAGACTGCACAAGGAATTTCGCAGGATACCCACGTAGAATTATCTTAGATCAGGTTATTTCAGGCATATGTAAAATTATGTGCATACTTTGGATTCCGAGACAAACTTTAAATGTAGGTTATAATAATTTGTTTGACAGGATCAGTTTACTGAAAAAATCATCTTCACACAAAAATCAAGAGACGCTCAAGAGCCGTACCATTCCCAAATTCAAATGTCCAATTTGCCCCAAGAGGTATATGACAGCGCAGCATTTGGCGGAACATATAAAGTGCATGCATAGTAACGGCAAGAAGTCACCTTGTGCGATATGCGGGAAATATTTGAAACAAAACGAAACTCTAGAGAAACACATTGAAGGCCATGCCGAACAAGTGACCAATTTCAAATGTCCACCGAAATCGATAAGGACAAAGCTGTCTTTGAAAACGCACCATTACGCGCGGGAAAAACGATGCGTTTGATGGTTTTTTAAATTTATTTCTTTACTTTGGAGCGTCTTTGCATATGTTGATTTAAGATAAAACTTTTAAAATATACATTTTTCATTTTCTTACCTATTTCGAAATGTAGTTAGACAACTTCTTTTAATTATGCTCTGTCTAATAAAAAAAATCATTGGTCTAGACGTGAAGCACCGTTAGACACCGTTGAAATTTCTGAGGGCCAACGTTAGATCCCCAGTCTATATATAAAATTTCGAAATGAGCGAGCAATTTGGTGATTTTCATTAAACATGTCAACAAAAGATGTAAGCAATAGTAATCACTGGGAAATATTTCTTAAAGACCAATAGAATAATCCACCTCACAGTACTCTTGCGTAAATGAAATGCACAAACGAAATAGCAATTTCTATTTATTTAAAAATAAAATCAGTAATAATAAGAAGTGGTGTTTAATCATGAATTACAGACGTGTAGCTTCAGATTCATTTAGTGTTTTTGCACCTTGAATACATCATATAATATTTTGTACCGTGTAATTACAGTGCAACTTTAAACATTTGATTGTTAGAGTATAAGTACAGTCATTTGGTGAGAAATATAGTGGTTACCTGGAAAGTTTTCCGGGATGTTTGAAAGTTAGTAATTTTATAAGTTTTGAGGTGCTCTTCCGAATTTCGACTTGGGCATCTGGTATTTTTCCCGTCGCACCGCCGTATTGGAAAAATGGCTCCTAAAAGCAGTTCTTTGATAATATCTCCTTTCCGACTCATTTTACGATAAAAACACTTCGCGGCGCTCGTACGCCAAAACTATTGACTTTATGAAAAAAAAAGTAAATACATAAATTGTAGTCCCTATTTTCATTTTGTGTATAACTGTTTTTATAGTAAAATGAGTCGGAAATGAGATATTGTCCAAAAACTCCTTTTAGGCGTCATTTTTCCAATATGGCGGCGCGCGCGGCAAAAATACGAGGTGGCAAAGTCGAAATTCGGAAAGACCACCTTAAAATCTATAAAATTACCTATTTTCAAAACTCCCGGAAAACTTTCCATGCTAAACTACCAAATGACTGTCTTAGTAGTATTTAAAGCGTTTTATATTGAACAGTGTATTTTTTTCTTGCTGCTTTAAGTTTTTATGGTCTTCTTCTTGTTCTAGTTTAAGTTGTTGTGATATTTGAGGCGCGTTAAGCGAACTTAGAGCAATGCTTCGCTAGCGGTCTTGCTGGTAGCCGAAGAGACGCCACGCAGCTCTTTGTCGCCGACAGTTCCTTCCTCAGGCGAGCAATGTCGTGCTCAGCCTGCCTCTTACGCTGGAAATACACTGTAGTTAGATATTGAGAAGTTAGATATCAATAGCTATAATGGATTAAATAAGATTTAAGAAATTATTGAAGCGAATGCAAGGTGCTAGCTGAATCCTCAAAATGAAATATGGACGATGAGTATAGATGGAGCATGGACTTGCTATTATGAAAAAAAAAAAATACAAAATAGCCTGTACTTCCACAAGTTAAGAGTTTCGTATGGAGGGGTTGGAGAAAATGCCACTCACCGGTCACCACGATTTCCCAGTGCGGGTTAGTAGGTACTATCAGCTAGCTGGCTTATTGTACCTTTTAAAGGACTGAGTAATTTTTGGTTACGCTATGACTGGACATTAATTAAGTGACTGACTGGTCACATACCAAACGTGTCCACCACACCATCAAACGTCTCTGCATTAAATATATTTCATAATAAAACAAAATAAATGTTTTTGAAGTTATACTTCTTTAGGCGCGTTATGAAAAAATGATGAGAGTGAAATTTTAAGATGCGCGCGCATCACTGTAACACAAAAAATTAACAGGATGAAGTTATTTGTGTTTACCGCACATTAAGAAAATCTACCAACAAAATAGAAATAGAGTCTCTATTTTGTGGGTGCTAACGACTGCATTGTGATGTCCTATCAAAAGTATTTATTAATCTGAAACAACGGAACCAAAGTGCGATTCAGGAGACTACAGCGCCATCTCTTGACCATTGGTGTAGTAGAACCAAAAACCACATCTTTATTTTTTGTAATAAAGTAACAGTTATAGGTATTCATATTTATAATATTTATCCACATGTTTCTAGTTTGTATATTCGGAATACGTGTTTGAGTTTCATACAAGTGCAAATCACATATGTTCTAATAAATTATATTCAGTAGCGATTTTAATTGAATATTTTGATTATTATTATCGAGGAGCTCGATGGCGCAAGTGGTTAGCGCGTTCGGCTGCGATCGTTGAAGTTAAGCAACTTTCGCAGTGGTCGGTCATTGGATGGGTGACCAAAAATTTACTATCTCGAGTTCCTCCGTGCTTCGGAAGGCACGTTAAGCCGTTGGTCCCGGGTGCATCTGCAGTCGTTAGCACCCACCAATCCGCACTGGGCCCGCGTGGTGGGTCATGGCCCAATCTCCCTATTCCATCCATAGGGAAGGTCTGTACCCCAGCAGTGGGGACATTAATAGGCTGATGATGATGATGATGATTTTGATTATTTATTTATTTTTTCAAATTAAAACTGAACTTTATTGACTGTGTCCTTTTCCAGACTTTTTATTAATTTATTGTAATTAATTATTTGCATGCAATTAAAAACTAATTTTAAACGATGCCAAAGAAGGATAACTTCTCACGCGCCTACATAAGTACACGCACCCATTTTTTTTTTTTTTTTTATATATTATTTGCAATCAGTCTTTGGACTATGAGCAAATTTATTGAGCGCAACCAAACATGACAGGAGTGGTCGGCCAGCGCCACCACTTCCTTTAAAGAACATTCTTCCTCTTCAGTCTCGAGACGCGGTCAGCTTGCTCAAGCAATTGGCATATTAAAGGATTTGGATGGTTTGAGAGGCGCTCAGTGTACCTCGATTTGCACTTGTCTATCTCTTCAGCGACAGTGGGCATGTTCAAGTATTCATGAATTTCGTCATTTTTTGTGAACCATGGTGCATTTACTATTGTTCTGAGGATATTATTTTGAACTCGTTGCAGGCAAGTAATGTTACTTTTGCAAGCAGTGCTCCACAACTGTATCCCATAAGTCCAAACTGGTTTTATAATGGTATTGTAAATAAGAAGCTTGTTGTCGATTGACAGGGCAGAGTTACGGTTCATAAGCCAATGAAGGTTTCTGTATTTTATATTAACTTCATCTCTCTTTTTCTTTAAGTGCTGCTTCCAGGTGAGTCTCCTATCCAAGTGGAAACCAAGATACTTAACGCAATCTGAGTGTGGGAGTGTGTCTGACCCAAGGTGAACAGGAGAACAGTTTCCCTTCCTTAATGCAAACGTAATGTGGTTCGATTTTTGACCACTGACTCGAATACGCCATTTTTTCAGCCATGCGTGAGTCTGATCTAATAGGTTCTGTAGCTTTGCACTAGCTATGTCAGGGTCTTTATCGCAGGCAAGGTATGCAATGTCATCAGTGTATGTAGCAATTACAGCGTCGCCAGCAGTGGGAAGGTCGTACGTGAATATGTTGTACAGAACCGGACCAAGTACCGATCCTTGCGGGACTCCAGCCTCCACAGCTTGCAAGGAAGATCGTGAGTCATCGACTTTAACCCTGAAGTATCTTTGTGACAGGTACGATGCAATTATGAGGTAAACCGAGTGTGGTAGGTTCTTATTAACCTTGTACAATAGGCCCTTGTGCCAAACCTTGTCAAACGCCTGTTGCACATCTAGGAAAGACGCGGAACAGTATTCTTTTCTCTCATAGTAAATTCTTACTGTGTCATATACACGATGCATTTGTTCTATGGTGGAGTGGGATTTTCTAAAACCAAGTTGATGTGTAGGGATGAGGTCACATTTATCCTTGCAATATTTAAGGCGGGTAAGGAAAATCTTTTCCCACAGTTTAGAGAGTGTAGGCGTCAAGCTAATGGGTCTGTAGGATGTAGGTTCATGTATAGGTTTTCCTGGTTTGTGTATCATGATGATTTCAGAGATCTTCCATATGGCTGGGAAACAAGACGTCCTAAATATGGCGTTAAACAGGCATGCCAGGAAGGTGATACATTTTCTAGGAAGTTCTTTTAAGACCCGTGTTGAAATGAGGTCGAAACCAGGCGCCTTTTTTGAATCGAGTAATTTAATTTCTCTTGCAATTTCTTCTGGGGAGGCAGGTGTCAGAGGCAGGCATAGCTGGAGATCTTGACCAAGTACCGTTTCAACTTCAGTTTCATCCTCTAGAGCATCGTTAGGCTTAAAAGTTGTGGCAAGATGGGTAGCGAAAACTTCAGCTTTCTCTGCATTTGTTTTTGCCCAGGAAGTAGAAGAAGATCTAATAGGCGGAGTGCATTGCATTGGTTTTCCAACGATCCTCGTGTTTTTATACAGAGAATATTCGCCTTTACCATGTGTTGACATACTTTCCAATTTTTGTTTGATATTGGCATTCCTAGTTGCCTCTAGAACTAACTTTAGGTCTTTTACAGCACGGTTAAACACCTTTTTGTCGACCTCTCTTCTAGTTTGGTGCCATATCCTTCGCAAACGGCGCTTTTCTAAAAATTTTTTTTTATTTCGGAGGAAACTAATATGTTTTGTGGGGCATGCTCAACATACGGGGTACTTTTCCAAGCAGCAGTCTGAATCACATTTGTGACATGCACACAAGCAGCATCCACATCTTCTTGGGATTTAAGTGGCATCCTAAAGTTAAGATTGGTATCTATATAATAACGAAAGCATTCCCAGTCGGTCTTATGATTTGTCAAGGTTTCAGGCTGTTTTTCGGACATGATGGCAGATGAGCTCAATGTTAATATTACCGGGGTATGATCAGAGCTCCCATCTAAGCTAGATTCCACGCAGGTATATAACTGACTTATATTATAAGTCGAGGAGATCTGGAAGTCTACATTTGTCTGCTGGCCAGTAGCTGGGTTCTCCAGTGGATATTGCCATTAGGTGAAGAGCACATTGACTTTTTCTCAGTTCACGACCACTCGGTAGAGTGATGCGAGAACCCCAGAATGTATGCTTGGCGTTCCAATCACCGCCTGCAATAAATGTGTTGCCAAGAGTTTCGAAATATGCCTGGTACATTTCTTGTGTAATCTTATGCTTCGGGGGACTGTATACAGCGGATAGAATAAATGATCCCGTTCGATCCTCTACGCGTACAGAGGTAACCTGAATGTGGTATGTTGAGTATCCTTCCAATGGCACGTGTTTAATGTTCGAACGAATGACTAGCGCTGTTCCAGCATGAGCTCGGCCATCGGGGTCCGTCGTGAAATATATTTTGTAGCCTTTCATCTGGAAGTTACTTTTACTAACTGCATGAGATTCCGATATAAGGGCCACGTCTAGTTGATTAATGGACAACATGTTTTCCAGTTCGCAAATGTTCGGAGACAGCCCATTGATGTTCCAGGTTGCAATGCGGATATTTAGGAATTTGGTTGAAGCATGGAGATGAGAGTTGTCAATAGGTTCATTAATGTTCCTATTTGTTGAATGAGTAGATCAAGTTTTTCTCCTTGCTTGATCATGATTTGCTCCATTGTAGGGTACTGCTGCTTACTCTAACTATCATTAGTTGGGTGTTTGACTGATTTGACATGTGTTACTTCCGCGTAAGTCCTCCTGTCATTCGTATATTTGTGGGTGTTTGTTGTGGTCTTGTTTTCCTCGAATCTTTTAACGTTATTTAATGTTGTCTTTCTGATAGGTTCTATAATTGGGTTTGTGTTGATTTAGTTGGCAGTCTTTCTAGAGAGGATTTCTTTATAGACCTGACATCCTTTATAGTTTGCTGGGTGGTCGAGAGAACACAGTGCACTTAGCTGGAGTATTTCTGTCTTTTTTAGGACAATCGCTGGTTTTATGCCCTTCGCCGCACTTGACACATCTATAAGGCCTCAAGCAGTTATTTTTTGAGTGTCCATACTGTTGGCATCTTTGACACTGGACTATGGTTTTAGACCTTCGTGGCTCCTCTATTTTAACCTGTTGGTGATAAATGTGCTGTATTGCTTTCAACTCTTTGTTTTGCTCACAGGGTGCGACGTTGACGAAGAAAGTGGAAATAGGTTTTTTCTCTGGCCCATACCGACAGTTTATGACTTCTCCAACAAATTTGTTTCCCGTCTTCTCTATCACTTCTACGATGGCTTCATGAGGAGTAGTATGATGAAGGTTTTTAATGACTATGCGATAGCATTTGTTGTCTTTTCTAGTGAAAGTGTCCTATTGGTCCTCTTTGTCTTATAAGCTCGATAACTTTTTTATAATTTTCAACCGAGTCAATCATAACTCGCATCAGGTTTCCGTTTATAATCTTGTATGTAAAGGTATCCTTATCTACTACTGAAGTTATTAGTTTCGATAGCTCATTAACGTCCTCTATGCCATAGAGTATTATTGGAGGCGGTCTACTTGGATTTTTTGGTAAAGATGGTCTATCTTCAGGTGTATCTACCGGCAGGTTGCTGAAACGATTTTGGGTTTGAGTTTCGGTGGGAGGTGGAGAGAAGCAATACTTCCGTTTTTTGGATCCAGGAACTCGTTGCCACAAAGGAGGCAGTTGGTCTGTTTCTGGTGTTTTGAACAGCGGTTACATCTATTTCCGTTTGGATATCTTGAGCAAGTTCGCCACACGAGTATGATCTTGGTCTTGAGTCAAAGAAGCTTTTGTGGAACACTTGTTGGGCAAGCACTTTATGCGGTTTGTTTTGTTGAGGTTGTGAAGTTTTGGTTAGATTTGGTTTTATAATTTCATTCATTGGATTCCCACGAGATAGGACGAAATATAAGTCGCTCACAGGGTGACGCCTATTCCTGTAAGAAGGCACTTATACAACAATGGTTGCCCGTAAACATCGAGGTTGGCGCTTGAGACTGATTGCCTATCAGCCATCCATCCTATCGGCACGGTCCACACCTTAGGATTAGGGTAATTTTTATTTTATTCAATAAAGGTTTTCTTCCTTTGAGCCCGGGCAGTTAAGCCAAGACTCTCTTCGTTTAGATCTTCTGGTGACAAGTCGTGGATATAAGATCGGAGATTGTTATCCCCTTGCCAGATATTCGGTTATAGCGCCGAAGGCTCGCTTTTGCCCTTCACATTGGCTATCTTGCTCCAGAGGTATACAAGGGAGCTCTGTTTGGACCAAGACATTGCCCGGGGAGGACGACTCACTGGTGATGGAGTCCATTGCTAGAATGCGGCGGCGTTCTAACAATGGCGAGGACGTAGTGTGAATAGGACTGGCTAGTGCGCGTCTGTAGTCTAGCTCCACCTAGACATAAGCGAATGGCATTTCTCGGCTTTTTATAGAGGAATATTCCCTGGTAAGAACAGACCCCACCGAGGCCAACACTGACTCCCCCCCCCCCCCCCCCCAGAATCAATCTAATAATAAAACAAAATAAATCTAAAAATATTTATTGACAACGCTTAATGGAGCAGTGGCATAAATTGATTGACTAATTACAAGTTGCAACATGGCGGTGAATATAAATAAAAATGATCATAGTTTAGCGGCTCATTACCTATATGCATTGATATTTCATTGGACTATAAAGTCGTCCAGTAGTTGCGATACCGCAATAAAGGGATTCTTATAAGAGTGATAAAGAAAATTAGATAATTAGACTATGTTACATACATTAGTATGACCATGGATTATAGAAATATATTATTAGTCCATGATGCGACTTCATGAAAGTGTCAAACAAAATATATCTCTTATCTATTGACAAGTCCGTCTGTCTGTGGTGCTGTTTCAGCGGCCAAACCGTAAGAGATAGTTAAAGAGAATATTTAAGTTATAAGTTAAGAAAAGTCTGATAAGACTACAAACCGGATTTGAGTAACATAGCACTTCCGGTTTTCGAGAAATCAGGTTTTGGTGAACATTTGGTTCAATGGTTTGCTAGTTTTAATTCTATTGCATTTAGATACAATATGAAACTTGCTTTGCAAACGCATCGTTGTTGTCATTTTGCGCGGGAAACTAGAGAACTAATTGTTACCCGCCATTTTTACTGTTGTTGGTTAAATGTGAGTAGGTAGGTACTCGCAGTCAAAGTTAGACGAAGAGCCTTCAGTCAGATAACTTATTAGCCAATAAAATGAAACAACAAAAAATTACCTAACGATTTAAATCTTCGCCCATCCATCGATAAACATACCTTATCTAATTCGAGTCTTTGCAAATCTATCAAGATGCAACCACCGATTTCGTTACAGATGTGCTGCAAAACACATTTTATTCCAATGCATAGTTCATAAACTTTAAAGTACTTACTTAAAGTTACTGAGGTACAGATACCAACACAGTATATTATACTACTCTTTGTACCAACAGAAGTTACCCAAAACTGTCAAACTCCAGGCTGACTTTGAGCTTTTTAATGACGCTTCATCAAAGATTCACAGGCATGATAATGGTGTCGATTCTGGATTCTCTAAACTTAAAACTAAATTTAACATCAGTCTCTCCTTTTCATTCTGTATAGAGAATGACAGGGATGCACTGTTGTCAAATTTAAGTTGAGCTTTAGAGAATAATGCCAGAATCGACATCACTCTAAACTTAAAACTAAAATCGGTCTATCATTTTTATACTCTAGGGAGAATGACAAGGATACACTGTTGTCAATGTTTCTACACTGAGAAAGTACTTTCTCACTATGTCAGCTAGGGTTGCCACTCGTACTTTGTTATAAAGTATTGTACGTTATTTCGGGTAATTGTACTCTATACTTTATGCCAACAATAAAGTACGCGAAAATACTTTATATAATGTGATTTGATTGCTCGGGGATTAATTTTACATAAACTATACAAAAGGAGGTTTATAGGAAGAATTTTCGCGTAAAACGGACAGAAAGTATGAATATATAGCCCTTAGTTAATTCCTACAACGTTTTCGTGGCTGTATGCCTTTGTATCATGACCTTTCCCATTGCGGAAATGAACTACAGATTTTAAGTAGCCGCAAATTATTAATTAAAAGTTGCTAGTAGCAACGTAAAATATATTTTTAAGCTTACTTATAAAATGGAATAAAAAGTACTTTATTTTGGACACAATGTACTTTTTTTTCTACCTTTAATATCTAATGTACTTTATTTCGACAAAAAACAGGTGGCCACCCTAATGTCAGCATAAGCTGAGGCAGGGTCCTGATTGGCCATCTTAGATTTATTATGTTCTTTTTTTTGTTCGTTAGGTTAAGTTTTCTTGTATTTTTTTTATTGTTGTATTTATAAGTTTTTCTTTTATTTGTTTCTTAGGTTTTCACGCACATCGCTCATTAAATAAAGCTAGTCTTTTACGGGTTAATGCACGAAACTTTATTCATTTATTGACGTTTCGTAGCCTTTACAGGTTACGTCGTCGGAATCAAATTTTTATCTAATTTTGTCGAGCTACCTTCGAAAGACATTGTTCGACATCGTTGTTTGTTGTTGTGACAATAAAACATTAAAAATCGAACAATGAAATAACCGAACGCTCAATAAAAGTTTTTCTTTTGTTAAGGTGGTCAATAAAGGTTTCACCATCATCATCATCAAAGGAGACCCGGCACTTTTCATAGAAAAAATGCTAAACTTGTATACAGTTGAATTTGGTCTCAAAATAAAGCCAAAATTATTTGCTACATAAAACTACTTTTGCCTTATTTTTAGTGAATCGTGGAAAGAAGTTATTTAATGATTAATATTTTTTGATATAGAAACCCTTTTGATGACAAACCTACGTATTTGACATTGACAGCTAGCTGCTGATGACAAATATTGCCAGACTACGTTACCCAATTATGAAACACAGATAAAAAAATTAAAAAAGTATACAACTTTGGCACAAAATGCCGGGTGTCCTTTAGGTTTAGAGAATCATACCAGAAGCGACATCAGTCTATTGAGAAAATATTACAGCTAGTGGTAATTTGATATGTGGTGGTCTGTACTCTTTAGAGCTCCACCGATGGTCGGGGTTGATCATGGCTATTTGTGGCTATTAGTCTAGTCAGTCTGACTTAAAAGTAATTCTAGGTCCAGTGGAACGTGACAAGGCAAAAAAATATTTAAAAAAGTCTTTTTGTTTGGAATTTTCAGTCAAACTTGGAAGTACAGGGAGAGGAAGCGGAAACCTTCTTTTTCATTATATTTCCAAGGGGAGATATTTGACACTAAATTGAGGAGCTGGCGAACAAAACGGTATAATAACATTAAATTAAATTTTACAGGAGCTGTATAAAACTGAATGACATACCTCCAGTGAGCTTTTAAATTTATAAATTTAGTAGGTAATAGGGATATTTTTTTCTTCGTTTATCAGGTAGATTATAAAAAAGTATTGGACACGTATTTTTTCTTTTTTTCACATAATATAAACATTGCAGAGATATATTGATTTGAAAAGTCACATGACGTCACGTTTTGGTACACTTTTAAGTGAAAATTCACTTAAAAGTGACGTCACGGGCCCCTACTCCCAAAACTTTGACGCGCTATAACTTTGTCATTTTTTGGTTGATTGCCCAAAGAAAAAATACGTGTCCATTATTTTTTGATCATCTAATTGACGGACTAAATAGAATTTCGTTTACTGTACCCCGTCATCACCCCTATTGTAACACTGTTTTGAGCGGTTTTGATTCAAAATTATTTGAGATTCAATTTCAACGGGCCCGAAACCTCCGGACTGTAAAAAAAGTAGTTTGACCAAATGCGTATTTTTTTTTTTAAATACACCAATTAGCCTAGCCCCAAAGTAAGCACTGTAAGGCTTGTGTTATGGGATACTAGGGTAACGGATAGAATACATATACTTTACATATATTAGTATATTTATATAGAAATACATATTAAACATCCATGACTAGAGTACAAATGCTCGTGTTCATCACACAAACATCTGCCCCCACCGAGATTCGAACCCGGGACCTCTCGAGTCGGCGACGCCATGAAACCCGGCGTACAAACCACTCGGCCACGGAGGTCGTCAATATTACTTATACCGTTTTGTTCGCCAACTCCCCTATTTTAACTTAATTAATTATACCTTTAGTTCATTCGCAAGCCGAGCTTCTACTTGTGCTACTCGTTGTCTCAACTCAGCTATGTCGCGCATAAGGCGCGCGGCCGCCAGTTTGTTGTCTGCCTGTGGGAATAACACAAAAAAAATGTATACACGGACCACACGTCTGAAGTGAAACTTCCTTTTTTTTAGTAACCTAACCTCAGGCGGTGCATAAGGCATAGGGGAATGGAGCAGCGCACGCAGCACTCATATATATATAAATATTGTCGCGTGTGACGCTCGTGACTCTCGTTGCGTTTCAGCTTTTGCCGAGTTACCCTACAACTTTCATGCTCGTCGGAAAGAGCTGCGCACGCATCACACACACACACACAACACACACACACACACATATATATATATATATATATATACTAGTGGCCCGCCCTCGCTTCGCTTCGGTGTAGAGCTGTAGTTTAGACTATAGTTTTTCTTCTCAGGCTTGTATTATACACAATGACATTCTTCTAATACCTAATTACAATAGGCACACGCCGCCAGGCCCCCGCCCGGTAGCGTCGGAACCGCTATGTCCCTGCATTTTAAATCTGTAATATCTTCGAAAATATTCATTTAAATTACATGCATTAAAGGGCCAAATTGGTCTATATTAAATGCACAATGTATTTAAGGTACTTAATTGGATAAGGATGAATGTTATATTGCTGAAAATCGCTTCGTAAATAATCTATTATTTTTCGTAAAAAGTATTGGATAAAAAATGGTTATTGTGAGTTATCCCTAAGAGATAGACATATACCATTGCGGACTTTTTTGTAGATCTTTTTAAGGCGTACAATACTGTAGTACATTATTTTGATCTATCTCGTAGGGTTCAGCCAGCGTTTGCAATGTAAGGGCAAAAAAATGTGTTTATTTACGACCTTACATTAAAAACCTCTAAAATTATCAGTGTTTCTCTATATTATGTATGTATGATACATATTCCCCATATTTCTTTACGCGGCTGAGACGTGGACTTTGCGAGATGTGGGAAGGCAGAAAGTGGACGCTTTGGAAATGTGGTGCTGGAGAAGAATGCTTGGGGTTTCGTGGACCGAGTTTCGCACGAACGTCTCGATACTTCAAGAACTCGGTATCAGGCAGCGTCTATTTTCGACAGTACAATCTCGCATCCTAACATTCTTCGGACACGTTTCTCGGCGTAACAACCTATCCATAGAACGCCTTGTCGTCCAAGGAAAGGTGGAAGGTATTAGACCGCGCGGAAGGTCACCCACGCGATGGACTGACCAGATCAAGTCAGCCGTTGGAGGTTCACTAAACGAGTGCAGCAGGATGACCTCTAGCAGGCAGCAATGGCGAAACATAGTGAAGCGCATCACATCTGCCCCCTCCAATAATACTACAAGTGCATAGCGATCACGACCGCTCTGTCAAGAGCGTACCGGCTAAGAAGAAGAATGATACATATGAAACTTCCTCATGAATCACTCTATCTATTAAAAAAACCGCATCAAAATCCGTCGCGTAATTTTAAAGATCTAAGCATACATAGGGACATAGGGACAGACAGCGGGAAGCGACTTTGCTTTAAACTATGTAGTTATATAGTCATGTGACGCTAGTGACGCACTTCCATTTCTTCTTTTCCATAGGATTTTTCCGTTTACACCTCGTTCGAAAAGAAGTTTCACTTCTAAAAGTAGAACTTACGCTTATAAAAAAAAATATGGCGAATTGAGAACCTTCTCAGATTGACAAACTGTGTGTTGCAAAACTGTCACCCTGATTGCAATTTATTTTTATTAATTTATTTTCATTTTCAGCAAATACCCAGAGCGTAGAGCTTGCTCCCCAGCCTGGTTAATGACCACGATTAGTATTCTCAATAGTTTATCATAGTATTGGAAATATTCCCGGGAAACTGAGAGCTTTGGAAAGAATCCCGGGAACGGTACATCACTAATAGTAGGGGAGCCCAAGCGGGGATTTGTGGATTTACTCGAGCGCGGCAGAATAACATATGGGGAGCAACCTTGCACCTAGTTAAGTACTCCCACCATACCTGAGCCCTCTATGTAGGGACCAAAAGTCATGACCGTTCGTTGAAATTTTAGTTTTTGCTGCCCTAGGAACGTCTAGCGCCTAAATCGTCAGTCTTTTGAATATAAGCTACTAGAGGGTTCATGTACATTTCTAAGAACGGAAAAAATATTGATCTGCCGCGGTTTGCATGATATGGGGATGGCCTTATGAAGGGGTAGAATATAGGAATAAATAACCGAGCGCGTCAGACATTGAGAAGGGATGTTACGTGAACCCTCCAGTAGCTCCTATTCAAAAGACTGACGATTTGGACCCGACCAAAAGTCATGGCCGTTTGTTGAAATTTTGTTTTTGCCGCCCTAGACGTTCGGCCCTACATAGATGGCTCAGGTATCTTGGGAGTACTTAACTACGTGCAAGGTTGCTCCCCATGTGTTATTGTGCCGCGCTCGAGTAAATCCAAAAATCCCCGCTTGGGCTTCCCTACTATAATGCATGCATGCGTGGCTGGTATCGCAAGTGATAGGTGAATTTTCCTATAAAATCATTTATACTGATTTATTAATCAAATCATATTTTATTAGCTGTGCCAAGCGGTGTTACCCGCGATTTAGCAGGTATATTTTCCCGCAGTAAAACGTAGCCTTTGTATTGGGTGTCAGCTAACTCCATACCAAATTTTATTAAAATCGCTCCAGCCGTTTAGATGTGAAGAAGTAACAACGATACACACTCACGAACTTTCGCCTCTAAAATATTAGTGCGATTAAATAATATACTTATGATAATATTCTACTTACAATTCGAGAAGGCGCGTTCCTAGCTACATTCCGGCAGACCACGTTGGGCAGTTCCGCCACAGAGCACGGGGTAAAGTAATCATTGGCCGTATTTTTCACTACTCCTTGTATGACCTGCGATTTTAAGAATTTTACGATATTCACACATGTTTTAAGAAAGTCAAAAGAATTGGACTTTTTGCGTTCAAGCGTCAATTTAGCAGTTTTGTTTTTCTTGTTAAAAATTGTGTTGCGGACGGTAGTGTCTAATAATCACTGCCGGATTTAGGGGAGGGCAACCGGGGTGAAAGCCCCGGGGCCTCCACAAACGGGGGGCCCCCACAATAGAGACTTCGGAAAAAAAATCTTTCAAATTCCAACTAGTAAACACTAGTAAACATCTTTTCCTTTGATATTTTTTTTGCTCTTTTACTTTTACCTACAGCCAGGGTCGAATTTAAGGCAGGGCAGGTGGGGCTGTGGCCTAGGGGCCTCCACAACAGCTTAAGAAATTACAACATTTCGATGGGTCAACAAGCATGCAAATCCTATGTGGCCCGGGGCCTCCACAACAGGATAAAAGATAACAAAATTTCGATGGGTTAGCAAGCATACAAATCCTAAGTGGCTCGGGGCCTCCACAATCCTAAATCCGGCCCTGCTAATAATGGTGGGTTATTTATTGACCACTAAGTGTTCGGGAACATGCACAAGTGTTGGCAAGTGAAACAAAATAGCGGAAAGTGTCTTTCGACGTTCCCTCAAGAAGTCCACGGGGAGGTTCCAGTAAATCCCCACACATTTACTGAAACATAGGGAAAGGGGGATTGACTTGACTGCCAATTACTTTGACTTGATATAATACTTTGACCACGAGTGCTATAGAATTTGTAAACATTTTAACACTTGACATTGGCTAAATGCACAAGCCGTGCGAAGCCATTTAGAAAAAAAAGGAAGTCAAAGGAGTTTTTGGCGGGATTTCATCGAGTGCGGTTGGCGTCTTATTTTAATTATTCTTAAATTCGTTCATAGTGGATACTGTGATATAAAATTGGTGTGATTTTGTGTAACAACCATCTGCGCTCCTGAAGAATTAGTGGAATCTTTAAAATATACGCTATTCCGGTCAAGTGGACGTGAGAACTCTAATGTAGTGTTGACTACCTCACATAAGCTTATCGAAAAAACCAACTCGATACATTTCTTGCCAAACATTCCAAGAAATAATAGAATGCGTCAAACCGACATTCTAATGTAAAAAAAGACGATTAAGATTTGTATTTATGTATACGACTGAAAGACATGTATCCATAGTCATAAATAAAAAAAAAGAAGTCAAAAAAGCACCATTGCAACGATGACTTATTTTATTCGGTTGTTTATATGTCGCCCGTGCGAAGCTAATTTTGCGGGTCCCTTTATCGTCCTATTTTATAAAAAAACACAGTTATTGTAAGAGGGACACATCCATTTTAATTTTACTCATACTTACTTCACCCACAGTCAAAATAGAACTAAGTGTCGCCGCACACGGGCCACCGACCACAACCACAAAACGCCGCCACCGGTATATTTCTTGTAGTTTTCATACATTTTATATGGACTCGCCACACACGGTACGCCGGTGGCCGCCACATGCTACAAATCGTCGTCGCTCGCTTCTTGTGGCCCGCACCGGCCACTTAATGCGCCGATACTAAACGCCGCCACACGTCACTCGCGCGATTCCCCACCCCTCTCTCGGCCTTACCTTAGTCGGCCGCTACCGCGCGTCAGCCACTTTAGTAGCCGCTTCTAGCTTCTCGTGGCGGCGTTTCTGACTGTGGCGTGTGGCCCGTGTGCGGCGACACTAAGTGTTTCCTAAAAAGTAAAAGTTCTGAGGCACTTTATAACTGCTGTACTAGCTATCTTTGCGTTTGGACTTTATCACCACTTAACATCAGGTGGGGTAGAGTCATTTGCCTACCTGGCTATATAAAAGATAAAATAAATTTGCCCTCCTACTCTAAAAGCGCTGTAGCCTTCGCCTCCGCCAGGTAGCTCTACTGAATAATCACTGACCTGTGCCACAGCAGTTCTCACATGCTTCACGTGGTGTGACTCTTCTTTCTCCAGGTGTCGCTTCAGGTGTTCTATCTCAGTCATAATGCCGAACTTCTCTCGCTCCAGCCGCTGGTTCGCTTGTTTCAGAGCCTAAATGTCATAATAATAAATACATTATTTGACGACCTTTGTGGCCGTGATAATAATAAATCTAATAAACACATTATTTGACGACATCCGTGGCCGAGTGGTTTGTACTCTTTTCAAAGTGTCGCCTACTGGAGAGGTCTTGCGTTCGAATCCCGGTGGGCATCCCGGCACATGTTTGTGTGATGAACACGAGCATTTGGACTCCAGTAATGGATGTTTAATATGTATTTCTATATATTCTATCCGTTACCCTAGTATCCCATAACACAAGCCTGCAGTGCTCATTTAGGATTAGGCTAAGGGGGCGTCCATAAATTAAACGTGGTGAGTCCCCCCCCCCTGGTGAGATATCGTGATATTTTTTTCTCCCCCATCCCCTAATCTCACGTAAGTTTTTCAAAATGTGGGTTTCTTACGTACGTAACAATAAGAAAAAAATAATAAAGTAAAGAGATTCAGTACAAGAGAAGGTTGAACTATAGTAGGATGGTGACCAAAACTTTTATCTGAAGTTCTTTCATAATATTATGGTAGGCATATTAAGCCGTTGCGTTAATCGAGACTGCTTTGCGACATGGCCCACTCGCCGTAAATATTAAATGCTTCTATTCTACTAAAAATTCTAAAGTTAGGCTTCGATGAACAAGAATACACTTAAACTAGCAAACCAGTGAACCAAATGTTCACCAAAACCTGATTTTAAAAAAGAAAGTATTTAATTAATTGAGAACTTCGGAGATTTTGTGTGGTTTCGTTTGAAATTCGTGATTTCTCGAAAACCGGAAGTGCTACGTTACTCAAATCCGGTTTGTAGTCTTATCAGACTATTCTTATCTTATAACTTAAACATTCTCTTTATCTATCTCTTACGGTTTGGCCGCTGAAACAGCACCACAGGCAGACGACGGACGGACTTGTCTAATAGATAAGGGATAGGTAAAATTGAGTTACGATGAGATGAAAAGAGAAGATCATACCCTGACTTGCTCCTTCTTCTCGAAGTGGCATTCTTCTATCCTCCTCTTCAGCTTTCTTCTTAATTCGTCTAGTATTCCGGAGAGCGTCACGCGGTTAGATTCAAGCTCCGCGCGTTGTTGAACGATCTGATTCACAGATGTCAGGAGTTTGATTCCTTGAAAGATGAAAGGCTTAATAATTCCATTTCTTTACCAAAATATATATTTCACCCTTGAACGTCCAAGAAGTTGTACCTAGTTGATTACTTTTTTATTTTTCAAACACGTATCTGCTAGATGTAAAATTTTACTAGAAAATATTCCACGCGGTACATGCGGCAGAAGGAACTTGACGCCGCACCCTCCCTTATCCGGCTGACACAAAAATTCGACACGGCCATTAAGGTTATCATCATCATCATCATCATCAACAGCCTATCCTAGTCCACTGCTGGACAAAGGCCTCTCCAATTGCACGCCACTCAGATCGACCTTGCGCAAATCGTCACTCCATCGTGCCTGAGGACGTCCTACACTACGTTTGCCTAGACGCGGTCTCCACTCCAGAACTCGTCTACCCCAACGGTTATCGGTTCTTCGGCAAATATGGCCAGCCCACTGCCACTTCAACTTGCTAATCCGGTGGGCTATGTCGATGACTCTGGTTCTCTGTCGGATTACCTCATTTCTGATGCGATCCTTCAGAGAAACGCCGAGCATAGCCCTTTGCATAGAGCGCTGAGCGACTTTGAACCTGTGGACCAGCCGTACCGTCAGTGTCCACGTCTCGGCTCCGTATGTCATCACAGGTAGGACGCACTGATTAAAGTCGCAGTAGCATAATTGGTCATTTGGATTGGAAGTCCCGACTTTACTGTAGTGTAGTCATAGGAGGTGATTTCCCACCAAATTGCACCAAGTTTGGTGGGTCATATGGGTTATGGTCTGAATCTGTTCTTTCAACGTAATCTTAAGAAACCCTTTTTTCACCCGCCTCGTTTGGCCTTTTCTCAGTCTGGAAAATGCCTAACGCATCCTTCAACCACCGGGGCAGCGAGAAGAAGGGTTGTGGGACTCCTCCCTGCTCATTTCAGCCAGCTCTAGGGGCCAGATGAAATGAGCAAGGCCCTACCTAATGCCCTGAATAGGTCCACTAAAAAGCAGACAATACTCCTGCACCGGTCACCCGGTACGCATTCTGAGGACCTCAGCCCCCCCAATGCGTGTTGGGAGAGCGGATGTGGTTATGGCACCCGATTTCCAACGGGCAAAGCTCTCCGTTAGGCCTTAGAATAAAAAAAAATGGGTGCGTGTACTTATGTAGGCGCGTGAGAAGTTATCCTTCTTTGGCATCGTTTAAAATTAGTTTTTAATTGCATGCAAATAATTAATTACATTAAATTAATAAAAAGTCTGGAAAAGGACACAGTCAATAAAGTTCAGTTTTAATTTGAAAAAATAAATAAATAATCAAAATATTCAATTAAAATCGCTACTGAATATAATTTATTAGAACATATGTGATTTGCACTTGTATGAAACTCAAACACGTATTCCGAATATACAAACTAGAAACATGTGGATAAATATTCTAAATATGAATACCTATAACTGTTACTTTATTACAAAAAATAAAGATGTGGTTTTTGGTTCTACTACACCAATGGTCAAGAGATAGCGCTGTAGTCTCCTGAATCGTGCTTTGGTTCCGTTGTTCCAGATTAATAAATACTTTTGATAGGCCTTCACAATGCAGTCGTTAGCACCCACTAAATAGAGATTCTATTTCTATTTTGTTGGTAGATTTTCTTAATGTGCGGTAAACACAAAAGTAACGCATGAAGTTGGTCGCTAAAGCGACGATGCTGTTAAAATTTTGTGTTACAGTGATGCGCGCGCATCTTAAAATTTCACTCTCATCATTTTTTCATAACGCGCCTAAAGAAGTATAACTTCAAAAATGTGATTCTTTACCGCCCTTTAATAATGCTAAATGCGCCCTTGTTCGCCAAGCGTTGGTACTGCCCTGTCTGTAGAGACAAACTAGTGATCAAAATATGTTCCCGTTCCCAGGAAATTGGAAATATTCCCAAAACTTTCTAATGTTTTCGATTATGTTTCCATTGTTCCCAGGAACTAGGGAATATTACTGAGAATCACAATATATGTGCATATCACTATTCTGTTTGATAATCTTAAACACCCATTTCACATGCTGCTTCAGTAGTGATGCTATCGGTGTCGATTCTGGCATGATTCTCTTAACTTAAAACTAAATTTAACATCAGTCTCTCCTTTTCATCCTAAGTGCCACCGCACACGGGCCATACGCCACAGCCACAAACGCCGCCACGAGAAGCTAGAAGCGCGCGACAGCGGCCGACTAAGGTAAGTGAGAGAGGGGTGGAGAATCGCGCGAGCGGCGTTTTGTATCGGCGCATTAAGTGGCTGGTGCGGGCCACAAGAAGCGAGCAACGACGATTTATAGCGTGTGACGGCCACCGGCGTAACGTGTGTGGCGAGTCCATATAAAATGTATGAAAACTACAAGAAATATGCCGGTGGCGGCGTTTTGTGGTTGTGGTCGGTGGCCCGTGTGCGGCGACACATATACTCGTATATAGAGAATTGTCACACACACTTTTGTCAAAGAAGTTTAGGTTTAGAGAACTATGCCAGAATCGACACCACTATGGGTTAAAATAAAGCTTATTAGCTGTGCTTACTTACTCTGTTCGTTGATCCTGAACCTCTGTGCTGCCGGCTGGAAGGTGCTGCCGTCGGGGCTGGGCGCGCCTGAGTCCTGGCCCGGGTACGAGGGCATGTAGCTAGGCAGGCTCTCTGGCGACTCCTCCGTGTGGCCATCCTGGTAATTGAGAAAAAGCGGTATAACAAAGAATTTGAAAATAGTATGTTAGGTTAAAAATAAACGCGCGGCTAACCCCTCGTTTACAGCAAGAAATAAGTCATATAAGTATCTGGCGGCACGATAGTGCCCCCGCCAAGTCGAACAAAAACAGCGGCACAGCCGTACCATTCTTTTCTCGAAACAGTTCAGGCCATTTTCAACCCCCTATAGACTTAAAACTAGAAGCCTTAGTTTTCAGTAACCAAGAAGGCATTGCATAAACTCGGTATATTTCAAATTTCATTGAATTTGAGCTAGTAATTTAAGAATTTTAACTAGTCAAAGTTTCTTAATTTTGTCACTCACTGACTGACTGACCGATCATCAAAACTCTAAGGCACTTCTAGCAGTCATAGAAGCTTCAAATTTAGAATACAGTTAGTATTTAGTGTATAAATCAAGGAAAAACTAAAATAAATTGCAATTTCGGCCTAGTTTTCTAGATATACTAACTGCATTAATAACTTTGTAATCCAGTATAAATATATACGATTACAAAGTTACATTTACAGTTAATGAATCAGTGTATGTGTTACATAAATATTGTACTATATTATAATAGATAGGTGCTGAGGGCTTTCAGAAAAGCTGTAGCTGAATCTTAGGAAGTAGTACCGGAAAAGAAAAAAGAGGAATATTACCTACAAAAATAAATAAAGGTCTTAAGACAGCCCATCATAAGACTTGTTGGTATTCAAGATATAAAGGTATCTGAAAGAAAAAAAGTAGAACTATCTACAAAAAGAAACGAGATGCCATCAAAAACATAATTTGTAAAAAAACCAAGTCTCGCAACTCAGTTCTTCTTCTTCTACCGTCAAAAGTTGTGAGAACCATGTTATGCCAAGTCGGTTAACTTATTTAGTCCCTAATTAGGGAACCTTCCGTCTTGAGTTATTACGAAATAAGCTCACCTAACAACATCTTATACTGACCATATCAATATTAAAAAATTGTATGTTTTTAATAAATAAATTGACTTGGTAATCGCATGAAAACACAATGTATCTCACATATTATATTAAATTTGATTGTTGAGTGCGATTGCCAAGTCCATTTATTTATTTAAAACATACGAGATTTTTAATATTGATATGGTCAGTATAAGATGTTGTTAGGTGAGCTAATTTCGTAAAAAAAATTGTGTGTGTCAGCTCCGACGCACGACTGGAGTTTACTCCTTATGCTCGATAGTCTAACCAGACGCAAAAAGAGTTTATTTAACTTAAAAAAGATTGATACTGTATGAAAGGGTAAATTAACAAATTAATGAAAATAATATACATATATAATTATATATTTATTCCTTTCATATACATTTATTATAACTAATCGATGAAATATTTTACATTAAACTTTTTACAATAGTCAATTTCAGATGTGCATAAATATATCATTAGGAATGTTGATAAATTATGTGTCTTGTCTCGACACAATGGAGCCAAATAAAACTATTCTTTAGATGAATAATAACTTTTGTAATGCTATTTTGTAAGTAAGAAAATTATATATAAATTAAAGCAGCCTTGACAACGGCTAACAGAAAAAAAAAGACATTGACAAATTAAAAAAGAATAAAACATGCGTAGGTCATTGGACCTCCTTTGTACATAATAATAATCTTCATCCATGAAGGCGACGAGCCGTAACATCGTCCCGCCGCGTTGAAAGTATTCTTTCAACAATTAACTTGCTCTTCAGTCAGTAGCGGGCACAGCCGAACCAAGGGTCGCCGCACGGAGCCCCTTATCGTGTTGAGCTCAGCTACTCGCGCGATTCCGTCGTATCCAGGGAATAGTCTGGTAACCCGTCCAAGACGCCAGCATAAAGGCGGCACGTTATCCTCTTGCAGGAGCACCATATCACCAATCGTTAGACTGCCCTTGTTAGTTCTCCATTTTGTTCGATGTTGGAGTTCGCTGATGTACTCCTTTTGCCATCGGTTCCAGAAGTGCTGATGAAGTTTTTCCAGCCTAGCATAGCGTCGAAGACTACTTTCCTTGACTTCCTTCAGGTTTGGCGAAGGCAGCGCTGTCAAGGGTCTTCCAATGAGAAAGTGCCCCGGGGACAAGAAAAGGAGGTCATTGGGAGAGGAAGAGAGAGGGCATAAGGGACGACTATTGAGTATAGCCTCCACTTGTGCAAACAAAGTGACTAATTCTTCTAGTGTTAAATGACTATTGCCCATCACTCTTTTGATATGGTACTTTGCCGACTTGACGCCAGCTTCCCAAATTCCTCCAAAATGTGGAGCATAAGTAGGAGTGAAAATAAAATTTATTCCTTCTTGAACTGCAAAGTTAGATAAATCCTTTGCAGAATTCGACAAAAACCTACCAATTTCTTTAGCTGCGGCAACAAAATTCCTTCCATTGTCACAGTAGACTTCAGATGGCTTTCCTCTGCGGGCTATAAATCTGCGAATCGTCATTACGAATGCATCCTTGGTAAGATCAGTGACAACCTCTAAGTGAAGACATTTATACCGCAGACAAACGAAAAGGCACATATAACATTTTATTAAACGACTGCTCCTACCTTTTTTATTTAATATCATGAATGGTCCTGCAAAGTCCAGCCCTACAGACAGAAAGGGGTAGCTAGGCGTTATTCTCTCCGTGGGGAGATTACCCATTTTTGGGCACAATGTTTTGGCATTTAAACGCTTACATCGCACACAGTTAAACACTACACTCCTCGCTAGATGCCTTCCATTTACCGGCCAAATAACTTCTCTCACCGCAGCAAGTAGCAACTGCGGTCCAGCGTGTAAGAGCTTAACATGTTCCCTTTCAAAGAACAATCTTGTAAGACGATGCGAAGCGTGCAATAGTATAGGATGTTTCTTTTCGTAAGCATAACATGAGGCGCTAATTCTACCACCTACTCTAATTAAATTATTTTTATCAAAAAACGGAGACAATGGAAGTATTTTTGATTTAGTATTTATTTGCTTGTTTTTATTGAGAACTTCATATTCTATAGCAAAAGATTGACGTTGAGCAGCCGCACATAAAAAGTAAAAGGATTTATTTAGTTCTTCAATTGAAATATGACCAAATAATTTATTATTAGGATATCTTAAATTGTGAACAAATCTTTTAACATATGCAAAAGTACGCTGTAACTTCGTAAAAGTAGAAAAATCTTCATATTTAATGAATGACTCGGCTACGGTTACTGTATGACATTTCACTTCCGGTAATTCTATTTCTAAGTTTTTGCCTAGACATAGTGTAGGCCACTCTGCTTCATCTTTTGAAATGAAGTCAGGTCCTAACCACCATAGATCCATGTTTATCAACTTGGTTGCGTCTACCCCCCGGGAAATCAAATCTGCCGGGTTGAGTGCGGTGGGAACGTAACGCCATGCCGCTACTTCAGTAGTTTCAATGATTTCAAGAACTCTATTGGCAGCAAAGGCCTTTAGTTTGCTTGGATCGTTACGAATCCAGGCCAATACTATTGTTGAATCGCACCAATGAACCAGGCGCACCGGTTGAGCTCGGAGAGATACGCACACTGCCTTGCATAATCTAGCCGCAAGGAGCGCAGCACACAACTCTAATCGTGGCATAGTGGTTGCCTTTAGCGGTGCGACCTTAGATTTACTGCATAACAACTTAACAGTGACTTCATTTTGAGCGTTTACTGACTTTAAGTAAATGCAAGCTCCGTATGCATGCTGTGAAGCGTCACTGAAACTATGCAGTTCAAAATACACATGATTAGCACTTAATACAAATCGTGGTATCTCCAATTTTTGTAATTCAGGTACGTGTTTAGTAAACAAACCCCACTCATTTGCAATATTTAAAGGAACGGGCTCATCCCAGTCCAATTTTTGTAGCCATAATTTTTGTATTAATATTTTTGGTATTACGATAAATGGGGATAACAAACCGAGTGGGTCGAATATTTTGAAAGCCTGAGACATAATTGACCTCTTGGTAACATTATTGTTTTGAGAAATAGGTTTAATGGGAAAGAAAAAGTTGTCAGTGGATGGTTTCCACCCCATCCCTAAAGTGCTAGTAGACTCACTGAACATTAAGTTATTGTTGGAATTTATATCATAATTTTTAAAGACATTTTGTAAATTACTTTTTAATTTCCTTAAATTGAAACATCCGGAACTAAGTACTTTGGATACCGAGTCCAAAATATAACACAGCTGATCCTCACTGTCAGCGCCACAGATCAGATCATCAACATAGAAATTATGCTGGATGATGTCCCGTATTAGTTCATCATCACACTCATTACCTAATTCTTTAATGCACCTTGTACTTAGATAACTCGCACTGGCGGTACCGTAGGTGAGTGTATTTAATTTAAATATTTTTAAGGGTAGATGTTCCTGCTCTCTCCACAACATAAGCTGAAGGCATCGATCTTCTTCATCGACCTCTACCTGCCGGTACATCTTCTCGATGTCTCCGGTCAAGATGTACCTATGTTGCCGAGCTCTAATTAATATAGAGAACAGGGAGTCTTGCACAGTAGGTCCTACCATCAAAATGTCATTTAAAGAATAACCCGAGGAGGATGCTGCGGAACCATCAAAAACGACACGTAACTTAGTTGATTCTCTATCCTCCCTTAACACGGGATGATGGCATAAAAAATAAGAAATGTCGGGTTTTGAATGGCATTCAGACAAATGGCCTAACTCTGCATATTCTTCTATAAATTTGGAATAACGCAATTTCATATTTGGATCTCGCCTAAATCGTTTTTCTAAATTAAAAAATCTACGTTTTGCTAGACCATACGTATCACCCAAACGGTCGGGCGATTCCTGTAAAGGCAACTTCACACGAAACCTACCACTATCTAACCTAATAGTATTTTGTATGAAATGATTTTCACAATAATCATCACTTTCGGTTATATTTTGCTTGTACGGGACTTCCTCTAAATTCCAAAAAATGGAAAGCATTTTTTCAATTTCGCTATTTGAATTGTTTTGTTCTGTAAGGGCTAGATTACTTCGTGTTGAATTTTCAAGACTCATTGGACTCAATGGACCTGACACCAACCATCCAAATTTTGAATTATGCAATTTAGGACAACTGGAACCTAATGACAGTTGTTCTTCTCCTATCACGTCCCAGAATATGTCAGCCCCGATTAAAATATCAATTTTGGACGT